GAGCCCCAAAGCCTTATGCCTCTCAGGCAGAACTATGTCAGCTTGCGCGCCCCAGGGTCTGGCAATCTTGGCCAGGCTCTGGGGTGGGGGTGTTGGGGTTGAGAGTCTAAAGGCAGTGCGAACGTGAGCAAGCAACACAAGATTTGAGTACGGGCGTTGTTGTTATGTTTCAATCCTGGGTTTTCACTTGTGGGTTTCAACTTGCGTCACATTGCATTGTAGCCCAGGGGCTGAGTGCCCCCACAGCCCCCTCCCCCAAAAAAAAAGAGGTCCGAGTTCAGGTGTCAGTTTCTCGGGGTACATTGCGGGGTACCCTAAACCCCCTCAACCCTCTCGGGTGTCTTGCTGGCCAGGCCTGGCTACCTCCAAGCTCCGCGGTGCTGGACACCGGGGGGCAGAGAGAACTGGTTAAAGATTCATGGTTTGTCTGGCTGGTTGGTTTAAGGCTCAGAAAAAACCCCTGACCGAATTATGCAAAACCTAAACCCGAACGTGGGCGGCGGCCGTGAGGAGCAGGTTTTTTGCAAAAAAAATGGAGCGGTGCTGCACAGTTCGGGGAGCCCTCCATCAGGAGCTGGGCCAGATAGCCACAGCCGCCTGGGGCCCACAGCATTGAGTTGCTTGTCGCCTTCTTTGAGGTTGCCTTGCTTAGAGACCTACTAAGTAGGGTTTAAGGCTTAGGTTTTAGGATATACTAACCTCCAAGCAGGCGATTTGAGGCCTTCGGACTTAGGCCTTGAACAAAAGCAGAGGCCTCTAAATCCAGAAAGCTCTGAGCCCCCAAACCTCCGGTAGCTGGGGCTGTGGGGCAGGCACTAAGCCCTAGTCCTAACGCCCCCGAGGCAGTGGTGGAACAGAGTGCACGGTGGGAGCCTCAATGCAATCCCTCGTCGGGTTCTGATTCTTCTTCCAAAAGCAGCACCATCCCCAAACTTCCGAAGCACCCCTGAGGACATGCATGTACAGAACCGCAATCTTAGGACACGCATATACAGAACCGCGCTCTTGGAAATCTTTGTCTGAAGATAAGTCCTGGGAGCCTTCCTCTCCCTGCAGGTCTGCCGCCACCTTCTGCCTCCTCTTCCCAGTGGCGCCATCGCCTTAGAATGTAGGATCTGGGTTCCCAATCGACTTGCCCTAGAGTTGGGGAGGGTCCCTCGCAACACTACAAGCCCTAAACGCGCTAAAGCCCAGACCCCTCGAAGCGCGAAGTTCTCCCCACACCCCCCCCGGCCAACGCCCGAACATCCTTCGAGGCTGGTGCTGCTGGTGACGTGGAGCTGGGGCCTGGCCCTGGTCACGGCGCTGCTTCTGGCGCACCCTTCGGGAAGGGTAAACGACTGGGATGTTTTTTTTTCGGTTCTCTTAGAAGTTAGAAGTGTCAGGGTATCTTAACAATGGCGGTTTGGCTATCACTAGCCGCAAGAGCCTCAACCTCGAAGGCAAAGCGTTTACAGCCCAAAGCCCTAACTCACTCTAAAGTCCTCAACACCTCCTGGTAAAGGCGCTGTCCGCGTTCGTGCTGGCGTTCCATCATGTCCGTCTTTTGGCCCAAGCTAGGGTTGTGGGTTTAGGGTTTAGGGTTCAAGAGGGGTTCGGGGTTCAAGTCTTAAGAGTTTTCAGGTGCAGGCCGGTTTTTGAGTAGAGGACTGGGGGAATTGGAAGTCCCGTGCAGGTTCCTTTCTGTGGGCCACCGAAGTCCCGAATTCACTTCTTAGAAGCCCTGAACATCCCTGAACCCTCAGCCCCAAACGCATTTCTTCGAGCAGGGCGAGAGCGAGAGCAAGAGAGAGACAGAGAGAGAGAGAGAGAGAGAGAGAGGGAGAGAGAGAGTTCGCGGCCGGGTTCCTCCTCGGGGGGGGGACTCCTAAGTGCAGAGAAGAAGAAGAAGAGAGAGTACGTGCGTGCAGCGGAGGGGGCAACCCCCTTTTCACGCCCTATAGCAAGAAAGAGAGAAAGAAAGACAGAACAATAAAGAAATAGATGAGTAGATAAAGAAGAAATTCAGAAAGAGCCCCAGACCCTTCCCGTATGCCCAAAACGCTTAAACCTTCAGTCCTGAACTCTACACTTCAAAGCCAAAGCCTTCCTCCCCCCCCATGCCCCCCTCTCCTCCCTCTTTGCTCGTGGCCCAGGCGTGAGCCAGCAGGAGGCCCCACCTTGGGGTTTGGGCTTTAGGGTTTGGGGATTAAGGGCTCAGGTTTAGGGGGCAGGATGTGAAGGTCACCTTCAGGTCCTGGCCGACTGGTTTCGCGATAACGTGCACGCCCATCAGCCGGTTTTTCCTGTTGTCCGGGCGCGCGATTGCCACCGGCGTGTTGAGGTATCTGTGCTGGACGTTGTCTCCATGATCGCCTACACCGCGATTATCACGTTGGCACTTCTGCGGGCACACGCGCCCAGCTCGCGACAACTGCCGTCAGCAACTGTTGAGGGCCGTAAGCCTGGTATAGCAAGGAAGCTAAACCTCTGAAGACCCCTCGGATGGATCCGATGGTTTGGGGAACTTTGGGGCCTCGGGGGTCATGCAACAGTGGTGTACCCGTAGCTGCACCTAGGATGACAAGTCATCGGGATGAACCAATCGCGCCCAGTGATGCAACGTACGTAGATGGACCTTGCCAGTGTCATCATCCTCGTTTGTCTCGCAGGATGTCACTGGTTTCTGATTTGTGCTTCCTTTGCATCAAGAACAGTACTGTTCTATCCGTGGTGATGGCATATTGCCATTTTGAGACTCTGAGGGAGAACACGAAGCCCCCTACTGAGGGTGCCGTCCACGTGGCGTGGTGCCAGGCCACTTAGCTCCTGCATCTTGTTCAGGCTGCACTTTAGCTTAATACAGCGTCGGGTTTCGAGTTTACTTGTTATAGGGGTTTGGGGCTACACATTGATTCTTAAGGGTTTAGAGTGCCCCTGTGTGAAGCCTAAGCCCCTTACTAAACCCCAAACCCCTCAATCGCTCACGCGCAGGACGGCTCTGGGAGGGATGCCCAGATGCGGCAGCGCAAGCAAGTTCAGGCCCGGAAGTGTGGGGCCCTGGTGCATGTGGGGTTTAATTACGGTGTCAGAGTTTGGGGTTGGGGTGGTAATGGGGTGACAAGTGCTGCTAAGTGTAAGGGGAAAACTGGAGGGACGGAAGGTTGGGCCAGTTTTTGGGTGTGGGAAGGCCAAGCAACTTGACATTCACCCACAAACCTGCATCTGAGTTTTCTGGCTGTTTTAGGGACTTTTTAGGATCTTAGTGCTAAGGTTTGGAGGATTGGGTTCTTCCATGGGTGTGTAACTGCAGTGGGCTTCGATACTTTCCGATGCCCTGCAGACAAAAGTTGCATTGCTGTCGTTTTAGGAACTGCACTCAAGCATCTGTCCAGCATCTCTGAAACTAATTTGACTGCCTCCCCCATACACGCAGCCCTCAAGGTTCTTACTTCCGGGGGGCAAGGGGGGGGCCACGAACAGAGCTCGACGTTAGGAGTCCGTTTGAATTCCCAAGCAAAGCCTCGGATTACGCCGCGAGCTGCACCCTGCCTTGGCTCTGCCGAGGATCGGCTCGCTGAGCGTGCTCATGGGGCTCTGCTCAGAGGTCCTGGCAAGTTTCCCGAAAACCCTGAACCCCAACCGGCCCTAACTCCGGAATCCTAAAAACTTGCATTGAAAAAATCCCTTGCTACTTCAAGGTTCGCCCCTGCGAAGACAGGGTCAAGATTGGTTGAGGGCCGCCTGTGCGAGGTTCTTTTGCTGTGCCCACTTCCGCTTTTGATCGGTTTGGGTGTATGTTTGCTTCCTCAACTAAACCCTGAACCCCGCTGAATCCTAAACCCTGGCAATACTCAGCGAAAGATCTTGTAGCTGCAGTCACCTGTGGGTGACTGCAGGTCCTGCAGCCCACACCAAGCTTTCGGGTTTATGGCTTCTTCTTCCCTGCCCCGGCCTGGTCTTTGTAGGACTATTCCCTCTCCCTCTTTCATGAGGCTTCGGGACACAGAGTCTGGGCACGGGGAAGACGCAGGCTAGTTTGTTGAGCACAGCTGTGAGGAAGGCGACGGCCGGCCTACGTTTCTGCTGCTGGGGCCTCATGTCTTCCGAGCCCAGTGTGATCGGTTCGGGTGAGATGAAATAGGTGGCTTGTGTTTTTATATCTATCTCTATGCTTATATGTTTATCTGCTGCATATGCATATGTATAAGTATATGCATATGTATACGTAGATGTATATACATAGATCCTTATATTTTTGTATACATATATATATATATGTATATACATATATATGTCTTTATGCATTATGTATGCATGTGTGGGAAGCACATGTGCGGCAGCTGTGGAGCTCAAGGTCTCTGTATGTAGCCGGGCAACGGTCCTTGCCCCTTTGCCTCGTCACGTAATGACGTGTGCCGACAAGGCAGTCACGGGCATGCAGGAGTCCGTCTGAGAGATCCTAAACTTTGGCCAAATCCTCGCTTGGGACTTGAGCTAAAGGTATACCCCAAGGCCCTCTCACCACTGTGCCACTACAGCTTGCACCAACGTGAGATGCAGTGCAGTGCAGTGGGAGCATCCCGGTTGTGCAGGCGTGTCCCCTTACTTTCCGCCATGTGGCAACGATGATTGACTTCCTATACCCCCACGAGGCGCGAGCGCGAGCCATTGGGACTCCTTGTGCTCATGAACTCCAGTCGTTGTAGAGGGATTTCGGACAAAGGGTACATGTTAAGGGTCCCTTCTGGGGGTCTTTCCCAGACTCTCTTACGCGATGGGACGTGAGATGCCGAGCTGCGCTAGACCGCAGCACCAAGTCCGCCCGATGTTTACCACCGGCAAGAAACGGATGGTAGATTTTCCAGCCCTCTCTATGCCCAACTCCAGTCTATTTAGCCAACATGCGCCTTGAGGCCAGAGATTTTGTCACTATTGACAAGCCCAGCAGCACCCTATGATTCTACATGATGAATTGTGATTCATTCCATCCACAGCCATCCCCGTAGTTTCTTTGTGCAATGCAGCTTCTCACCATGAGCGCCGTGCCATGGGCACCGTTGTCCCTGGGCACGCTTCCACCGGCGCCCTGGCTTCGGTCAAAGCCGATGGCCGCGGGGGTGCCAAGAGCTTCAGCGCGGCCGGAGCATCGACGGCGGGCCGTGATGGCGGTGTCAGGGCTGTCGGGGTTACTCATGGGTCGCCGAGGGCACAAGATTTGCTGTTGCGCAGCTGTGGAGTGGTTGAAGCTTGGTGAAGCTGCGGTTGAAAATGCTGAAGATGGGGAAATTGCGCCTGAAGACCCTGAAGCAGTTGTGCTTCCTGTCATGCCTCTGAATGCTGTGTATTTGCCAAGCCCGAGCCAGCAACTCATGATCTCGGAGCCACGGTATTTGAAACTTTACGATGACATATTGGTGAACGGCAGCCGCATCTTTGTTGTTAGCCATTGCCGTGGCTCTCTTCTGGCACGTGTGGGCTTGGTTTTTAGATTGGCCGACCTGAAAGATGTGACGCAGGAGACCAATGGCCACATGAGGTACGTGGCGGAACACCAGGTCCGACAACGTGTTCGGATCCTGGCCCTGGTGAATCCAGAGGACCAGGAGTCCAAATCCCAGTACCTCCGAGCCAAAGTGGAATTCCTGGACGAGATGGAAGAAGATGCGGTCCCTGAAGATCTTCGGGTGATCTTGCAAAGAATCTTCAAGTTAACAGTGGGTCGAGAATGCGTTTGGATGGTTCTTGTGTGATGCATGATTTGTTGTTTGTAACTTGGACTGGACATGTCTACAGGGACTAAATCTTTCGGATGGCATGGCCACCCTAATATGAGCATTAAGGAATACGTGGGAAACTGCAAGATGCCTTGGCGATACAGGGAGAGCAGGAACAGGGCGACCCTGAAGAACTGGGGAACCAGGCCCGGCGCTTGCGCTTAGCCAGCGTGATCAGGACCCGAGTCGCTCTGAGTTGCATGTTACCCCGAAATATCGCAGATGGCAGGCTGTGTGGATAAGCAAGAGAAGGTCCTCATCATGATGACTCGCTCTAGTTGTATATGGAAGTGAAGTTGTTTGGACATGAATGTTCAAGGGTAGTCAATGGATCTCACTGAGCAAAACCCAAGAAATGCCAGAAATACCTCTCGGGGTTGGTGTGATGTTACATATGGGGTCTTAGTAATTTTAACGCTACGCGACCCGCCTCGGCCCGGCCCAGCGCATCCGCGTGAGCATGGTGATTCCGGAGCGCCCAAGTTGCTGGGCCCCAAGCAATAAGGGTTGGGTTTAGGGTTTAGGGTTTAGGGTTCCGGGTTTATGGTTTATGGTTTGGGGTTTAGGGTTGAGGGTTAGTTTAGGATTGAGGGCTTAGGGCTCAAGGTTCACGCTTTGGGGTTTAGGGTTTTTTGGGTGTGGGGTTCAAGAATCGTAGGGTGGAGCCAGCCCATCAGGGGTAGGGGGGGTGGGGGGGGAAGGGGGGGCAGGGGGAGGGTGGGAGGGGGGGTTTGTTGAAGGTTTGAGGGTTGAGGCTCGGTTAAGGGGGGGGGGGGGGGGGGGGGGGGGGGGGGGGGGGGGGGGGGGGGGGGGGGGGGGGGGGGGGGGGGGGGGGGGGGGAGGGGGGGGGAGGGGGGGGGGGGGGGGGGGGGGGGGGGGGGGGGGGGGGGGGGGGGGGGGGGGGGGGGGGGGGGGGGGGGGGGGGGGGGGGGGGGGGGGGGGGGCCCCTGCTGGGAAGGGCTGCAACTGCCTCTGGTCCTGGCGAACCATCCGCTGGCGGCCCCTGCTCTCCTAGGGGGGGTACCCATTTTTGGCAAAAAAAGGGGGCCGAAAAGTGGCTTTGGGTGTGGGGGGAGGATTTGGAGGGGGGTGCCTGTTCTGACAACCTATACACCTTCGGCCCGAGGCCTCGGCGGATTATTGAGCAAAACCCAAGAAATGCCAGAAATACCTCTCGGGGTTGGTGTGATGTTACATATGGGGTCTTAGTAATTATATACCCGGCGCGCTAGGGCCGCTAGGGACCTGAAGCTAAGACCCGTTCTGTTAATCTTTCCCAGCAAGCCATTACCTATAGGATGATGCAGCAAGAATACTCACGACAATCACCGAAGTGGCGCTGCTCACTTCGAGGAAGCCCGGCTTCTGGGACCTCTGCAGCATCCTGGGTTCTATCCAATCCCTTCGGCTGCAACTGGAGATCCGGCGCCTGCGCGAGCACGTGAGGCAACTCACGGAAGTGACTAGGTGGATCATGGAATCGTGGAATAGTCACACCAGGATCCTTGTGGAGCGGTTGGGGGGTGGGGGGGTGGGGCCTTTGGCCCAGGATTTTTTCAAGAATTGGATGATTTGGGATTCTCCCCATGTATTTAGGAAGCACCCCTATGCTGGTATGTAGGTGTGTCTTATCCTGCGGTTTGGGCACTCCCCAAGCCAACCCCAACTTATGTTACACATGGTGGTTGGGGTGGTTCTTTTTCATATCAACAGTTTCCAAGCAAGAGGTTTGCTTGATGGACTCCGGTGTTTGGACATGCCGCTGCTGTTCAGATACATTCCACGGGGAATTGAAAGGCTTGAGGCCCAGACCTGCCCAATCCTCCCCCCACCCCTTTGAGGGGCTAAGGTGGGTAGAACAAAAAGGTAGAAGGAGCCTCTTTCACCCTCATCCAGCACGCCGACATCATGGGCCCCACTGAGGTTGAGCATGGAACCCCAATGCAATTTCCAATTTGAAAAGCCTTCCAAGACAAGTTGTTTTTGCAGTGGCAGCTGCTACGTGGGGGCAAATGTCGGTGTGTCAGGTACCCATTCAGAGATAATCCCACCTGGTACGTGGTTATGAAGTACATCCCTCTATAGCCCACTAAAAATGCGATAGGCCCAAGCCATGTTTCCTTCCAAGGACTGGGCTAGGCAGCATCCAGATGAGTTTGCAGCGTTGAAGGTGAATCCTAAGGGGCTCCCAGCGAACATCCGATCGCAAGGAGAGCGAGTGAGAGAACTGATGCTGGAAGCTTGGCAGTTGGATAGTATAAATGTTTCCCAGAAATAGGGATACCCCAAACCATTGGTTTTCATCAGCAAATTTGGGGGGGGGGATCTAAACTATGACAATGTGGTTACGCTTGATTTTGATGTTTTACAATTTTCGGTGTAGCTTGCTGTTAGGTCCCGGGCCCTGACTTGATAGATACTCAGAAGAAATTCAGCAGTTGCAGTTGCCTCAGGATGGATCCCAGGAACTCCAAGAAACTTTCCAACAGATCCTTCAGACCGCACGTCTCACGGATGCAGCGCTGCTGCTCGAGCTTGCAGTAGACCAGGAACTGCAGCGCGTGCGCACCGTGCGGTCCCTGAATAGCTTGCTTCGGCCGAAAGAGTAAAATAAGTGCTTCCTCCGTCATCCAGCAGGGTTCTGGAGTTTAGGGTTGAGGATTTAATGAGCTTAGAAAAGGATGTTTGAGGTTATTGTTGGGTCTGCAACTGTTTGGCAAAGGCTGTCTTTAGTTCTTCAAGTTCCAAATGCCGATCCGCAGGGCGCTTTCGTAAACCCAGAACATCTCTACCCTTGCCCAGCTCAAGAACCCAAAGCCCGAAGCCTCCAAAACACTGCCAACGAAGACGACATATCTCGGGAAGCGCAACCCTACATGTTGACAGCAGCGCTTCGGTTTTTCGACCCACGCTGCTTTGAGCAACTCTGCATGCTGCTGCAGCCTCCGTCTAACCAAAAGCTGAAATCGCAGGCATCTGCTGGCAGCTTCACAAACCGCGCTGACAAAGCTCAATCCGTAGGGGTAGGGTGTGGCCTCTTCAGAGGCCTTTGCACGGGGGCAAGTCTGCAAGCTGTGGCAGCCGCTTCTCTGCAAGTTTGGTCCAAGTTTGCCTAAGAAGTATGGGTGCTAATGGAGATGAGCAGGTAGATATCAATGTAAAAGTATCGCTACAAAAGTATATCTGTACAGACAAAATGCTTTTGTTCATGTTGTACGTATCTATTCATGTAGGTATATACATATACATGCAGAGTATCATTATAAATCTGCGAGCCCTCAAGAAGCCCCGGAGGCAAGCAACATCTTCGCTCGATGCCAAGGAGGTTGTGCTGAGGCACACCCGTCTCGACTCCAGATCGAGCGTGTTATGACAGCCATGTAGGGTTTAGGGATGTTTCGGATTTAGGGTTTTGAAGCAGAGCATCCGAGAGCCCCATTAGGCTTCTCCTTGATGTGAAAACGTACTGCTTCGGGACTGCTGTTGGTTTGATTCTGCTGGAGACTCACCTGAAGTAATGTCGTTTTCTGTTCTCTGTCGGAATATAAGGAAGGGTAATCAGAGCAGGGGCACGCTGCGAGAGCATAGGGTCTCCAGGGTGTAGGGCTGCAGAACCCTGGGGTCACGTGAACATTAATCTAGAAGGTTCCCAAGGTTCCCGAAGGTTCTTAATGGGGTTATGGGTTGCCCTAAATATTTCAACACCCTTCAACCCGAACCCCTAATGCCCCAAGGCCTTACCGTAAGACCCCGAACCAACCCCCTCAGACCCCAACACATAGCGCTAGAAACCCTAAGAATCTTGGCGCCCCCCAAAAACCGTGCAACACCCTGAGCACCCTACAGCCATGAGGAAAAAATCAAAACGTTTCACTCCCCGGACCCGACGTGGATCCTACACTCTGAGCCCTAAACCCCAAACCCACGACCCTAAACCCCAAACCCCAAACCCTAAACCCTAAACCCTAAACCCCAAACCCCAAACCCCAAACCCTAAACCCTACACCCTAAACCCCAACTGCTAGGCTCCGACCCTCGGGTTGGGTGCCGGACGCTGCAGCCGCCGAGTGCCTTCAGGTCCAAGGGGTTTTAAGGGCTTCAGGGCTCAGTGGAGGGTTTCGGGGTTGAAGGGTTTAGGGCTTTAGGGTTTAGAGTTTTTTAGGGTTTATGGGGGTCTAGGGTTTAGGCTTACGGGCTTGCTTTGGGGTAAAAAATCTCTTGTTTCCTCCCCACCGAAGACCATTTCTTTCTTGTGGGCTGTGCGCAGGATGCATCGTTCTGCAAGCGGCTTCTGCGGGATTCTCCGTGGCAATTCTCCGACCCGGTGTTCTCGGGGGGGGGGGGGGGGCTTTGGGGTGCAAGGCATTCCAACAAACATGCGTAAGGAGGGGTTTGTTTAATTGGAGCTTTGCTGATAAGGCTCTCAGACCCCTTTTGAAAGGCTTAAACCCTGACCCCTGAGCCCCAACTATGATCAACTATGCCAATCGCCCCAGGACCCCAAGCACCCAAAGCTCCCCGAAGCACCCCAAAGCACCCCCGCCAAAGCTTAAACACGATTCTGCACCCCTAACCCCTATGCCAAGGAGGGGCACAAACCCGGAATCCGAAACACCCTGAACCCTAAAGCACCAAGGATTATTACACCTGCCTGTCTGGATCCAGCCTCCAGCTCGCCTATGCTCCCCGGCGCAGCCAAACCACCCGATATGGAAGGGTTTGTAGGGGTTGCTTAAAGGTTTGAGGTATAGGGGGCTGCTTTTAGGTTGAGGGGTGTTTGCTGTTTCTCCCCGTGAAAGGGTTTGAGAAGGATGCCGAGGGTCTTAGGACGTACGACGGGCACAAGGCGGGTACTTCAGGCTAGGGCCTAACGCCGAAACCCTAAGCTCTAATCGGCACGAAAACTACAAACCTTCAAGCTGAAGCGTCTCCACGTGTGAATTCTCACGCATTGGGAATGTCGAGTTTCATGATGTCACCAGGACATGACACAGCAATAGTCAGTGCAGAGCTTGGATGCTCACATATGGGGGGAAGGTTGGAGCCACTTTTCGGTTCTTGTTGCAGGCCTTACGGGTTTTGGGGGTGTAAGGTTCAGGGCTTTCGAGCCACGACCTCTATGCTCCACCCTCCCCAGATTGAGAGGTAACGTTTTCCCAGCATCTGGTCTTTGTGGACCCTGCAGCTCGGATGGTCGCGCCCCCGCAGGGACGCCTGCCTTGAACACGCGTAGTGGTTTGAGGGTTTCGGGTCAAGGGGCCGGAATACTGCTTCGAATCACACGTGGCACACACTGCTCTCCTCACTAGTTTAGTCCAAATTTAGGGGTGTGTGTGTGTGTGTTTTTTTTTTTTGTTGTGTGTGTGTGTGTGTGTGCGCGCGCGCGCCTATGTGAGCGACCGGCAAAATTAGCGTTGATTGGCTTTAGTAATTCATGGTTTGATGGCTTTTGATCTGCAGAACGATAGGGGACACGCAGAAAACGATAACCCCAACATGATGATTAATATATGCGGTGTATGGACGTAGTATGAAATTGGCGGAAGAGCGTTTTAAGCTGCAGAACGATATGGGACACGCAGAAAACAATAACCCTGACATCCATGTCCTTCAGCTTAACAAGTAATATTGACCGCTGCTCATGTGTCCCTCTTCCCTCCCCAAAGCGCCCACACAAAAGGTGGGTTGGACGGCCCCTAGCATCCTAAGGCCCCAACAGGCCCCAACTACCGTCTCGGGGTCGATGCTGTAAATCCTGGACCCTGAGCTTCAAAACCCTAGGGCCTAACCGACGTGCCAGCTCACCCCGGCTCTCGCGTCGTTGCCTTTGCAACAAAGTATCCGTAACATACAACAGAAATCAGTGTCAGGTTTGGGGTGTAGGGGAAAGGGTTGATTTAGAGTTTAGTAGCACCTAACCTGTGTAGGAAGTCTGCTTGGGCTCGGGGTGCCCAAGCCCCCAAGCCTGAACCCATAAAGCCCTAAAGCCTTAAACCCTGAAGCCTCAGCCACCCTGAGGAACCCTTGTGCCCTAATCCCCCCGAAAACCCCCCCTTCCCCCCCCCCCCCCCGCCCCCCCAAAGCCTCAGACACTAACAGCGCTGTCGAAACCTCGGATGCCAGGAGCGGACTTGTTCCCTATCGATGTGGATTCGTCCAAGTACCGATGCCTGGCAGCGACCCAAGGTGTGGGGGTCATTCGTATTAGGGTCAAGGGTCAAGGGTGACTAAGGGTTCCCTCTAGGTACCTGTTATCATCCAACCCCCCCGGAAAGGACCCAGAGGGGCCGAAGTTTTTGAACAAGCGAAAGAGCTTTAGCAGCCAAAGCCTGAGCTATCTGATAGAGTTCTACCCTTAGCCCTCAACACCACACCCTGAACTCTTTAACCCTAAGCCCTGAACCCTAAACCCCTAAACCCTACACCCTTCATAACCCCAAAGCCTGAACCCTAGACCGAGACTCCGTAGTTGCCCATTCTTCAAGTTTGTTGGGGTGTAGGCTAGGTTTAGGGGCATCGAGTTTCAGGGAGCAGGGCTTTTTGACCCCTAAAATCCCGGACTCCCCTCCACGTCTTGATGAGATGCACATATCGCAAGGACTCGTCATCGATACCTTCTCCGTGGACAGGCTTTGGTGGAGATGCTTGGAGCCACTCGGGCGGCGTCCGAGAGTTCTTCCGCACATGTCTGGTGCAAAAAACGAAGTTGCTGGGTTGGAGGCATAGGGCAAGACCCCGAAAGACCAACCTCAAGGATGCAGGTCAGCGCATTGAAATCGTCTAAGATCGCTCACGCAGGACCCCTACTGCTGCATGAGCTTCCTCAAGCCCGACGCCCTGAGCTCTTAAACTAATGCCAATTTGAACAGATGGGCAGAGGCACGAGCTTTTCCATTGGCCCTTGGACGAGGAGCCGCCTGGATGGAAGATGGGGGGTATCTTTGGGGGATGTAGGGGTTGCTTGTGTTGGGTTCCTGGAAAACCGACGTGACGCAACAACAGGGGTTGTTGCGGAACCCAGGTCTTTGTCACTTTCGTGGGTACTCCTGCGTGTTCGAAGGTAGTTACAGCTAACATTGCCGAGAAGTAGAGGTACTTCTTGGACCTAAATGTGTCTGGAAACCCAAGTATCGGAACCACCCATGGTTGCCCGTGTCGGAGCCGATCCAGTGAACTCTAAACCAATTAGAAGGATCTTGCAACGCTACTGCTACTGCCACTGCTACTCCTCTCCTCCTCCTCCTCCTCCTCCTCATCCTACTACTACGACGACGACGACGACGACGACGACTACTACTACTACTACTACTACTACTACTACTACTGCTATTACTGCTATTACTGCTACTACTGCTACTACTGCTACTACTGCTACTACTGCTACTACTGCTACTACTGCTACTACTGCTACTACTGCTACTACTGCTACTACTGCTACTACTGCTACTACTGCTACTACTGCTACTTCTGCTACTTCTGCTACTACTGCTACTACTGCTACTACTGCTACTACTGCTACTACTGCTACTACTGCTACTACTGCT